TGTCGCAGCGCATTGAAATTTTGCTTGCGGGTAGACCTTGACCTGGAGGTCACGTTTCCACCGTTCTTGACCCCCGCTCACCTCTGTGACTGGAGCTATGGGCGATCAAAGACGATTTTAACATTGGCTCCAAAGTGAAAAATGGTCGGTTCAGTATGCTCCATATGACCTAAGGAGTCGTCCTGCAAAGTCTGAGACTCCTACGGCGATTTGACCTTTTTGGTCGAAAATGCATGTAAGGCTAACACCTGGCGCTCAAATGCCACTCGGATGTCAAAGTTGTCGCAGCGCATTGAAATTTTGCATGCGGGTAGACCTTGACCTGGAGGTCACGTTTCCACCGTTCTTGACCCCCGCTCACCTCGGTGAGTGGAGCTATGGGCGATCAAAGACGATTTTAACATTGGCTCCAACGTGAAAAATGTTCGGTTCAGTATGCTCCATATGACCTAAGGAGTCGTCCTGCAAAGTCTGAGACTCCTACGGCGATTTGACCTTTTTGGTCGAAAATGCATGTAAGGCTAACACCTGGCTCTCAAATGCCACTCGGATGTCAAAGTTGTCGCAGCGCATTGAAATTTTGCATGCGGGTAGACCTTGACCTGGAGGTCACGTTTCCATCGTTCTTGACCCCCGCTCACCTCTGTGAGTGGAGCTATGGGCGATCAAAGATGATTTTAACATTGGCTCCAAAGTGAAAATGTTCGGTTCAGTATGCTCCATATGACCTAAGGAGTCGTCCTGCAAAGTCTGAGACTCCTACGGCGATTTGACCTTTTTGGTCGAAAATGCATGTAAGGCTAACACCTGGCGCTCAAATGCCACTCGGATGTCAAAGTTGTCGCAGCGCATTGAAATTTTGCATGCGGGTAGACCTTGACCTGGAGGTCACGTTTCCACCGTTCTTGTCCCCCGCTCACCTCTATGAGTGGAGCTATGGGCGATCAAAGACGATTTTAACATTGGCTCCAAAGCGAAAAATGGTCGGTTCAGTATGCTCCATATGACCTAAGGAGTCGTCCTGCAAAGTCTGAGACTCCTACGGCGATTTGACCTTTTTGGTCGAAAATGCATGTAAGGCTAACACCTGGCGCTCAAATGCCACTCGGATGTCAAAGTTGTCGCAGCGCATTGAAATTTTGCATGCGGGTAGACCTTGACCTGGAGGTCACGTTTCCACCGTTCTTGACCCCCGCTCACCTCTGTGAGTGGAGCTATGGGCGATCAAAGATGATTTTAACATTGGCTCCAAAGTGAAAAATGGTCGGTTCAGTATGCTCCATATGACCTAAGGAGTCGCCCTGCAAAGTCTGAGACTCCTACGGCGATTTGACCTTTTTGGTCGAAAATGCATGTAAGGCTAACACCTGGCACTCAAATGCCACTCGGATGTCAAAGTTGTCGCAGCGCATTGAAATTTTGCTTGCGGGTAGACCTTGACCTGGAGGTCACGTTTCCACCGTTCTTGACCCCCGCTCACCTCTGTGACTGGAGCTATGGGCGATCAAAGACGATTTTAACATTGGCTCCAAAGTGAAAAATGTTCGGTTCAGTATGCTCCATATGACCTAAGGAGTCGTCCTGCAAAGTCTGAGACTCCTACGGCGATTTGACCTTTTTCGTCGAAAATGCATGTAAGGCTAACACCTGGCGCTCAAATGCCACTCGGATGTCAAAGTTGTCGCAGCGCATTGAAATTTTGCATGCGGGTAGACCTTGACCTGGAGGTCACGTTTCCACCGTTCTTGACCCCCGCTCACCTCTGTGACTGGAGCTATGGGCGATCAAAGATGATTTTAACATTGGCTCCAACGTGAAAAATGTTCGGTTCAGTATGCTCCATATGACCTAAGGAGTCGTCCTGCAAAGTCTGAGACTCCTACGGCGATTTGACCTTTTTGGTCGAAAATGCATGTAAGGCTAACACCTGGCGCTCAAATGCCACTCGGATGTCAAAGTTGTCGCAGCGCATTGAAATTTTGCATGCGGGTAGACCTTGACCTGGAGGTCACGTTTCCACCGTTCTTGACCCCCGCTCACCTCTGTGAGTGGAGCTATGGGCGATCAAAGACGATTTTAACATTGGCTCCAAAGTGAAAAATGGTCGGTTCAGTATGCTCCATATGACCTAAGGAGTCGTCCTGCAAAGTCTGAGACTCCTACGGCGATTTGACCTTTTTGGTCGAAAATGCATGTAAGGCTAACACCTGGCACTCAAATGCCACTCGGATGTCAAAGTTGTCGCAGCGCATTGAAATTTTGCTTGCGGGTAGACCTTGACCTGGAGGTCACGTTTCCACCGTTCTTGACCCCCGCTCACCTCTGTGACTGGAGCTATGGGCGATCAAAGACGATTTTAACATTGGCTCCAAAGTGAAAAATGTTCGGTTCAGTATGCTCCATATGACCTAAGGAGTCGTCCTGCAAAGTCTGAGACTCCTACGGCGATTTGACCTTTTTGGTCGAAAATGCATGTAAGGCTAACACCTGGCGCTCAAATGCCACTCGGATGTCAAAGTTGTCGCAGCGCATTGAAATTTTGCATGCGGGTAGACCTTGACCTGGAGGTCACGTTTCCACCGTTCTTGACCCCCGCTCACCTCTGTGAGTGGAGCTATGGGCGATCAAAGACGATTTTAACATTGGCTCCAAAGTGAAAAATGCTCGATTCAGTATGCTCCATATGACCTAAGGAGTCGTCCTGCAAAGTCTGAGACTCCTACGGCGATTTGACCTTTTTCGTCGAAAATGCATGTAAGGCTAACACCTGGCGCTCAAATGCCACTCGGATGTCAAAGTTGTCGCAGCGCATTGAAATTTTGCATGCGGGTAGACCTTGACCTGGAGGTCACGTTTCCACCGTTCTTGACCCCCGCTCACCTCTGTGACTGGAGCTATGGGCGATCAAAGATGATTTTAACATTGGCTCCAAAGTGAAAAATGGTCGGTTCAGTATGCTCCATATGACCTAAGGAGTCGTCCTGCAAAGTCTGAGACTCCTACGGCGATTTGACCTTTTTGGTCGAAAATGCATGTAAGGCTAACACCTGGCGCTCAAATGCCACTCGGATGTCAAAGTTGTCGCAGCGCATTGAAATTTTGCTTGCGCGTAGACCTTGACCTGGAGGTCACGTTTCCACCGTTCTTGACCCCCGCTCACCTCTGTGAGTGGAGCTATGGGCGATCAAAGACGATTTTAACATTGGCTCCAAAGTGAAAAATGTTCGGTTCAGTATGCTCCATATGACCTAAGGAGTCGTCCTGCAAAGTCTGAGACTCCTACGGCGATTTGACCTTTTTGGTCGAAAATGCATGTAACACCTGGCGCTCAAATGCCACTCGGATGTCAAAGTTGTCGCAGCGCATTGAAATTTTGCATGCGGGTAGACCTTGACCTGGAGGTCACGTTTCCACCGTTCTTGACCCCCGCTCACCTCTGTGAGTGGAGCTATGGGCGATCAAAGACGATTTTAACATTGGCTCCAAAGTGAAAAATGTTCGGTTCAGTATGCTCCATATGACCTAAGGAGTCGTCCTGCAAAGTCTGAGACTCCTACGGCGATTTGACCTTTTTGGTCGAAAATGCACATAAGACTAACCTGGCGCTCAAATGCCACTCGGATGTCAAAGTTGTCGCAGCGCATTGAAAATTTGCATGCGGGTAGACCTTGACCTGGAGGTCACGTTTCCACCGTTCTTGACCCCCGCTCACCTCTGTGAGTGGAGCTATGGGCGATCAAAGACGATTTTAACAATGGCTCCAAATCGAAAAATGTTCGGTTCAGTATGCTCCATGTGACCTGAGGAGTCGTCCTGCAAAGTCTGAGACTCCTACGGTGATTTGACGTTTTTGGTCGAAAATGCGCCTAAGTACACCCAGGCACTCAAATGGCACTCGGATGTCAAACATGTGGCAGCGCATTGAAACTTTGCATGCGGGTAGACCTTGACCTCGCGGACACGTTTCTACCGTCCTTGACCCCAGATCACCTCGGTGAGCGGAGCTATGGGCTCCATTATCCAACTGTAACATTGGCTCCAAATCGAAAAATGTTTGGTTCAGAATGCTCCATATGACCTAAGGAGTCGTCCTGCAAAGTCTGAGACTCCTACGACGATTTGACATTTTTGGTCGAAATGCGCCTAAGTACAACAACACCCATGCACTCAAATAGCACTCGGATGTCAAACATGTCGCAGCGCATTGAAACTTGCATAAAATCGCACGTTCGAAAAAGTACACAAAATCATTAAAAAAAATTAAAAAATATTTCAACCTGAAAACACATGTACACAGATTTCAACACTTACAGTGAATATATGTGCCAAGTTTCAAGTCAATTTCTTGCATAATAATAGAGATATAGTGAATCAAACATATGCACTAGCCTCACCATATCAGGACAGAAAAATGTATGCAATTCAAATAAAACTTCATCAATACTAAGCCCATGCACTGTTGAAGGCTCACAGAAAATTTGGAATCCCTAACTCATACACAGCTTGACTTATAGTCATTTGAAATCATGCTGCATCCATATCACTTGAGGGTACATTTTTGGCATGAATTCATTTCAAATGCAATTCTAATTTGTCCATAACTCCATAACAAAAAGGAAATTGACAAAACAAGCAAGTGTTCCTGTCTCGTCATTACATATACTATCAACAGACAGCAATTTCAGTCCGGTTAATCAATTCTTTTTTTTTGGGGGGGGGGGCCTATTTTTAGGTACATGCATGCATTTTTTAACCAAAAAATTGAATTAAAGTTCATATTTTTCAACAAAAATGAAAATTGAAACTGATAAATTTTTATTCACATGAAAGCCCTGTCTTTACTCATTAAAATTATTGGTGGGACAGGTAGCTGTGTACAGCCAATCAAGTGCAGCGAGTCACCAGGTGTGACCACTCTCAGCTGACACTCGGCCAATACACGCCAAGGTGTCAAACTGTGTGTACAGCTCCACTGCAATTTGGACTGCACATACGGCACAAGACATATGTATGTCTCGAGAGTTTCTAATACATTTACACGCTTGTCATTGCCATTGACATTACACAGTGATGGGGTTTATAGGTACATCTTGTGCTCAGAGCTCATTAGTTCTGTCCGAGACAATCACGATGAAAGGCGATCGCAAGAGAATCAAGTCACAGTTCAGCAAGGGCCACACTCCCTGGAACAAAGGTCTCACCCTTGAGTCTGAAGAGACAGAAAGTGACTCTCCACCCCAGATACCCAGGACTGTCACTAGGATGAGTGCTGAAGACTTCTCACTGGTTACCAAGTCTAGGCTGGATGGCACTGGGCTGTGGACACCTGACTGTGAGGGCATCTCTACCTCTGTGAGGCTCTTGCGGCCTACTGCGGCCAGCATGCAAGACCTGAAACAAGAGTCAAGCAAAGATGACTTGGAGTGTATGCGACTAGTCGACAATGAAAAGGTGGCCGAAGCATGGAACACAGCTCTGCGACTGCATCGTTCAACATCCACTGACTGCGACGACCCTCAGCTGCAGATAGCCAAGGAGAGAAAATGGGGACCATGCTGGAAAGTGACACTGAAATGTGTTGTATGTGACTTCACAGCACCTGAAATGAAGTTGTATAAAGAAATCAAGACAGGCAAACCTGGACCAAACCCAGCAGCCCCTAACGTAGGACTTGCCTTGGGTCTTCAAGACAACCCTATTGGAAACACAAGAGCCAGGTTACTGATGGCGAACATGGACATTCCGCCCCCATGCAGGAGCAGTATGCAGAGGACCTCTAACAAGGTGGCTATTGCTGTTACTGAACTGAATACACAGGAAATGGCTGAAAAAGTTGAATTGGTAAAGGAAGTTAATCAGAAGAGGGGTACTGAGCCATGCGAGATGAATATTGCCATGGATGGCCGATACAACTCAACGACAATAGCAAGCAGGAAGAAGCCAGGGCAGAATGCATCACAAGCAATCGGCATAGCCTGCGAAACTGTTACCGATAAGAAGTTCATCATCGGCGCGTCATTCCAGAATAAGCTGTGCTGGACTGGTGCTTGGCTGAAAGGAAAAGGAATGGATGTGAAGTGTCCAGGGGGGCATCCAGACTGTACTGCAAACATGTCGGCCTTCGCTCCGTTCTCCGAGTTCAATATGGGAGAGGACATTGGAAATCAGCTTGCGCTACAGGGTGTGCTAATTAAGTATGCTACTACCGATGGGGATTCTAAGTCTGCAGGTGAAGACAAGGCTCTGAAAGTGTTAGACCCTATGTGGAAGGTGCAGAGGCTAGCTGATCCCACCCACTTGGCTCAAGGACAGTTTCAGCAATGCTACAGAGCTGATTTCAACCCAGATATGTTCCCCGGCACTACTCGTACACAGAAATTTGAGGCTAAGAAGTGCTAAGTCAGGATGTAAAGGCACGGTGCAGCCTGATACTGAAAGAACTCATGAAGGATCATGCAGGCGACATGAAAGCACTTCGTAGTATCTTACCTAGAGTGCTCGAAGCAACCCTTAAGTGCTACAGCGGCGACTGCTCCAGGTGTGCCCGGTACTCTGTTGTGTGTCGAGGCGGTGTAACAAACAGCTGGTGGCAGCGGTCCATGTTCCTCGGCTGCAACAAAATCACTCATTTCAATATGGATGACAATGATAAACACTTGATGAATGAAATTCTCAAGATGAAGCTGAGTGTCGAAGTTGTCGAACAAATGAAACTGTACACAGACACACAGAAATGTGAAGCCGTGAACCGATCAATGAGTATTTCTTTGCCAAAGAACGTGAACTTTTCAAGAAATATGATCGGGAGGGCTTCATCGACTATTCATAGGCTCAACAATGGCCCCGGGACATCAGCAATCGACAAGTGCCAAAACTCTGGTGTTGAACTATCAAGTCGAGCAGTGCGGTCACTTGAACAAATGGACAAGGAAGCTGCCTATCACAAGGAATACCAGAAAAGTCCCAGTGTTGTGAAAAGAAAGCTCGTGCAGCATGGGAGCAAAATTAGTGAACATTTAAAGTCAAAACTGAGTGACAAACAGAGGGGGGACTACAAAAAGGGTCAACTTGACCCTGTGCCATGTTTTAGTAAACAAGCTGACCATGCATATTCAAAGAAATGAACATGTGCAGTAATACTGTAGCTAATGACTAGCTTATGACTGACTTTGTGTAAAAAATTGAGTTGAAATAGGTAACAGTTGCTGTACAGCTATGTTTTTTGTATATGCAATGCTACAATCAGCTGTCACTGTGATGAACATCAGTTAATGAATAAAATCTTAATTTACTTTGCTTGTTGGTGTCTCCTTGCACAGCTTCAAAGCCAAAAGGCAATCCGCATATGGCACATGGTCTTTGCATGCACCCCCGTTCACACAGGCTACTCTGTCTGCATTTACACTGTGCGGCTCAGCAGAAAGATGTTCGACATAGGTACATTTGGAATTATGGCACAAATGTCTGATGTCCAAATCACCTATGTCGAAATCTTCCCTTTGCACAATGTAGCTAAGCCTATGGACATGTACGGTGCGCCACTTGTTGGATATGGGGCAATAGTACCTCAAAACCCCATATCCACTGGGCGTACATGCCCTAGACCAGATTTGACATGGGCCGTTTTGACATGTGCCATTTTGGTCACTTTTGGCTGAATGCCGAGCAAATATCTCTCTGTATTTCTTGAAAAAGGCTTCGATGTTGGCCATATTAATACTGTCCAAGTGCAAACTGACACGACAGGTGTAGTGATACATGATTCTACCATATTGGCATATATGATGCTGGCATTCACTCATTTCAACAATATGCATAAAATCGCACGTTCGAAAAAGTACACAAAATCATTAAAAAAAATTAAAAAATATTTCAACCTGAAAACACATGTACAGATTTCAACACTTACTGTGAATATATGTGCCAAGTTTCAAGTCAATGTCTTGCATAATAATAGAGATATAGTGAATCAAACATATGCACTAGCCTCACCATATCAGGCCTCAGACCACAATTAATTTCCTTCTTTGCTATCTACAGTGACATGACAGCCCACCATAATTATTATCAGTCGTAGGCTGTTCTCCTGTTGCATGCTGACCAACCTGCCACTTGTTACTTAAAACGCAAAGTTTTGTCCAGCATCCACCACATTGCTTTCGCAGTAACAACTGTCCACAATGCTCACCGGAAGTTTCGAGCCGAAACACACACTGCGGCCTTCAACTTGGGGTCAAATCATGGGAAGCTGGAATCAATACCTTCACAGATTGGGGCTAACAAAAGATTGACAGCAAACTACAATGTCTTATCTTTCATTTAAGCTATCACAAGTCACTCCAAAAAAATTGCCACAGGCTGAACAGCCCATTTAAACAGGGTACTATATTCTCCTATTTTCCTTCCGGTTCATGGTAAAACTTAGGGGGGATAACTGTGGTCTGAGGCCTATCAGGACAGAAAAAAGTATGCAATTCAAATAAAAGAGAAAATTTGGAATCCCTAACTCATACACAGCTTGACTTATAGTCATTTGAAATCCTGCTGCATCCATAGCACTTGAGAGTACATTTTTGGCATGAATTTTGGCCAACGACCAGGACTGTCTACTGCTTCAATACGCTAACGCCAATTACGAATGGTGAGACGTCGGATGCGACGAGGTCCACCCCTATATCTGTGAAGTAGACCTGCCTGTAGTTTAAGGCAACACAGTTAATGTAACAGTATATCTACATTGTAATTACTCAGACACAATGTACCAGTATATCTACATTGTAATTACTCAGACACAATGTACCAGTATATCTACATTGTAATTACTCAGACACAATGTAACAGTATGTCTACATTGTAATTACTCGGACATATTGTAACAGTATTTCTACATTGTAATTACTTGGACATATTGTAACAGTATATCTACATTGTAATTACTCGAACATAATGTAACAGTATATCTACACTGCAATTACTCGGACATATTGTAACAGTATATCTACATTGTAATTACTCGGACAAAATGTAATAGTATATCTACATTGTAAATACTCGGACATAATGTAACACTATATCTACATTTTAATTACTCGGACAAAATGTAACATTACATCTACATTGTAATTACTCGGACGTAATGTAACAGTATATCTACACTGCAATTACTCGGACATATTGCAACAGTATATCTACATTGTAATTACTCGGACAAAATGTAACAGTATATCTACATTGTAAATACTCGGACAAAATGTTGCAGTAAATCTACATTGTTACACCACATACTTAATTTAATAGTGTTTCTGCATTGTAACACCGCGTACCTTAATGTAACAGCGACGGCATTGAATAAATTAATCTACAATCGACCCATTTGTTACAGTTTTCCTTCCAACGTTGATTCTCGCAATTCTCTGTAAGTTGAAAGGTGATTGTGTACAGTTTTACCCTGCCTCTGTCAGTGGTCTCTATGTTGCACTCCCCATCGTGACATTCCGAGGAAAGAACCGATTCCCAGTGCCTCATGCTTGTCGAACCGATGAGACGCGATGGCTGGGTAGAATGGAGGTCAACGTGCACCGATGGCCTGGCTCGATCACCATGATTCCATTATTTACAGGCACTAGTGGTACAGCTTGAATACTGCTGACAATGGGGTTACTCAAGGTCCAGTCTCACATACACTTCCACTTGACATCGTTCACCGTGCGAGGACCACATCAACACAACAAAACATAAATGCATCAATATCAACACATTACTACTTCAGTTCATCAATCCATCACTATCAACACATCAATATGTCAGTACATCAATACATCAATATCAACACATCAATACATCAATATCAACACACCAATACTTCGGTACATCAATCCATCAATATCAACACATCAATACTTCAGTACATCAATACATCAATATCAACACATCAATACCTCAAGCCATCAATATCACACACCCATACATCAATATCAACATACCAATACTTCGTCACATCAATATCAACACACCAATACATCAATATAAACACATCAATACTTCAGTACATCAATACATCAATATCAACATATCAATACTTCAGTACATCAATACATCAATATGGACACATCAATACTTCAGTACATCAATACATCAAAAACGACACAGCAATACTTCAGTACATCAATACATCAATATTGACAAAGCAATACTTCAGTTCATCAATACTTCAGTACATCAATACATCAATACATCAATACATCGATACACCAATACTTCAGTAAATCAATGTCAACACATCAATATTTCAGTACATCAATATCAACACATCAATACTTCAGGACATTAATAAATGAGGCGACAACACACAGGCTTGCAAAATAATTTAACAAAAAGGGGAAAAACCTAGATGGTCTTGTGAAATGTTTCATTCTGATTCACCCTGGACTTTCTTGACAGGCCTTGACGTCCACACGAAGGTCATGCGAACGTCAACATGAGGCAGCATGGCAGATTCCGGGCTCTGTCCGTGGTGCTTTGGGGCAGGGTCACTATGACTGTCAGAACGCCACTGCAGATTGCCCATGGACGGGTCACCGGACAGTTCGACCAAGTCAACATACTGGCAGTGCCGTCAATAGTAGCACCGATTGCGCGCCATGCTGGTCCTAGTGTTGTCTTTCAAGACGATAATGCTCGTGATAACACAACCCAAGTATGGATTAAGATAAGTTTATGAAATAAAGTTAAAGATTATACTGATAAATAACTAAACAGCTTTCGTACTCACACCCAATCAACTAGTTTTCAATAAATATCACCCTTCACACATTTCACATTTCACATTCACTCCGTCACTCTAACATTCACTTTCCAAATGCTTAAGGTTCTCACAATTAATGATAGTAAAACACAAAACAGTGTCAAATAACGAATTTCAGTAACAGAATTTCCATGTGAAATATGCGAGGTGGGTGTTGGAAAATCCAAGATGGCTGTTACTGACGGTATACGGTCTCATATCAGGCCTTGGATTTTTACTGACGGTATACGGGCTCATGTGGGGGTTAGTGGTTCTGCTTTCTGATTGGTCAATCTCACTTTGAGGCATAATAAAAAGTACTATTCTTTGATAAATATGAACAGTTACTCTGGTCCATAAAACGACGTATACTTTGGTAAATAAAGAGTGTACAGTACAGATTAAGGATATACATGTTATACCCACTGGATGCAGTATGGTAATAGTGACACAATGGTACAGTTACACACAGGCTTCGATCAAAATGAAAGAAGCTCGAGGACTCTGGAATGTAATGATGTGCACGCTATTTTAACGGATGAGGTATTGAAGAATAAGATACACTTGAGTTCAGTAAAAGCTTAACATGTGATTGCCAAAACCTATGCTCCGATCTTTTGTGTTTGTCGGAATCGCGGGGCGAAAGAATATGGAAGTCTGTTATAAGGATTAGAGGTTAGGATCCCTGCACCTCTCGCCAGCTTACAATGACACGTCAATGAGTCACACTGGAGACACGGCACAATACTTTGGTAGCTGAGGGAGGGTTCCGTGCACAACATGGTAGATGCAGGGACCTCGCTCTTTGTTGGTGTTTTTTTAATGCAGCATGTAATAATCCAAATGACGTCAACATCCGGTGAACTACATGTGTGGTCTGTGTAAGGGAGACAACTCCAACTTCCTTAACGTGCAACCGACACAAATCCTTGAAACATCCCAACATGGTGGGACCTCGCTCTTTGTGTTCTTGTTGGTGTTTTGTTTTTAAATGGAATTATTAAATGTTCGAAATCGGTGATGCCGATGTCGTCCTTCCTTTTCACCAAAGAGACAATTCCTTGGAGACAACTAAGTGCTACAAGCACGGGACTGTGGGAACCGTTCTATCCCGGAATCCCCGAGGAAGTAATATCAAAGTATAGAATCCAGTCAGTTCAATTCAATTCCTTTATTCAAAATGTAATGTAGGCCATCGACCCATGATTACAATAATAATGGCTCCAGTCAAGCATACACAGCATTTTGAAGTAACATGTTGCAAGTTCCAAAGAAACAAAATCATCACTTCAGCCTGATAAAGAAATATTTATTTTATTTTACGTTGATAATTTTACATTTGTCAAACGGCAAAGATGTTGGTTACGGACAAGGAACAAATATGTCCAATTAACAATCAACGGGTCTAACAATTAGGAGAACAATTCGAATGCTGCATGAGTTTCAACGCAACCATGATGACAGTAAGTACCAATCCAATCACAATCGCCGCGACTGCAGTGATTCTCGCTGACTTGCCCGACTCTGAAGCTCTTGCATAGTCCCCTCTCATCGCATATTTTTTAGACTGAAGCAGAGAACACAAACATGTTAAGCGGTGACATAAAATTGAGACATGTTTTTCAAACTTATTTGTGTTTAATTGATAGTTTTGTGTTTAACGCTACAGTCGGCACTAGTCCACGTATATGGCGGCGCCCTGTAAAATGTCGAGTCTTCATGAGATAATCTAGTGGTAGGTATTATGAGCAACAGTACAGGACATCGGGGTATGATAACACACAATCAACAAAGGCACCTGATCACGAATCACCTCTTACAATGGGCTGAGGAAATTTTCATGCCACCATGTGCTTGTGATTTGAGTCGTGTGCACCCCTCCACTTTTATAACTTTTACAACCTCGCCGTAAATAAAAGTCGGGTAATATACTGATCCACCTGATCGGTCAGGTTTTACGACTTGGCTGAACACCTTTTCGCGAACACCTGGTGGCATCTCTGATATTCAGTCATCAAACCTTCATTTATTTTTCACCGGTATATTCCCTTTTTTCCCAATGGAATCTGTTTCGTCAGATATTCTTTATTATTCTCTTTTATTCTCTCGCGTTGCGATTACCTTTTTCATTATTTCTCCATTTTCACGCTCACAATAGCCTACTTGTGTGTGGTCAATCCCATCAATGGTCAATGGACATCTACTATGGTTGTTGTAAGACAGGTCGCATGATCACAAAGGTAATGCTGTGCCTCAATCATGCTTATAAATGCGTGTTCACCTGACTAGCGACTTTCTCAGGTCCCATCAATGCCTTATATAATGAGCAACCGATAATTTACATTGGAATAAGGTCACGACTATGCCTTCAATCAGTTTGATTCAGAAATAGCATCTTAAAAAAAACAGAACAAAATCATTATGAATATGATGAATCTAAAGGACGTAAGCTAACGTTGAACTGAATATACATTTGGTGCAATACTAAGTAACTATATGAATATATGAATCTGTACATACCTTGAAGGAATAACTAACTGCGAGAATTCCTAACACCTAACAGAAACAGGCCGAGCAAGCTGCCAGCGAAAGGTAATCTGGGGGATCCTCTGCTTCATTGGCAACAACAGCTCCGGGTTGGGTCGTCTGAAAAGTAGAGTGTTAATTTATTACATGTACCGTGAAAACGTTCAACACCATCCCGAAATCTTTCCGAACTTGTATCTTTGGAAATATATGCTAAATCATACTGAATGTTTAAGAGATCACTGTACGTACCTCCAGATGGACGGAAGTACTGAGTCATAGCTTATTTGTTTAGACTGAAGCAGAGAACACAAACATGTTTAGAGGTGACATAAAATTGAGACATGTTTTTCAAACATATTATTGTTTAATTGATAGTTTTGTGTTTAATGCTACAGTCGGCACTGGTTCACGTATATGACGGCGCCCTGCAAAATGTCGAGTCTTCATGAGATAATCTAGTGGTAGGTATTATGAGCAACAGTACAGGACATCGGGGTATGATAACACACAGTCAACAAAGGCACCTGGGCCCACTTGCACAAAGCGATCTTAGCGCTAAGATGATCTTAACTCCCATACTTGAACATAGGCTTAAGGTAGTCTTAGCACTAAGATCGTTTTGTGCAAGTGGGCCCTGATCACGAATCACCTCTTACAACGGGCGTATTAACTTTTTCATGTTCGATTATTTTTCCACTTTCACGCTCACAATAGAGTCATGGTATATTTTGCAAAGAAGCTTAGAAGCCGCTTAACCACAACGTCCCACCTACCACGACTCCGGTGTGACGACTGTGCGTGTATATCTGCACTGGGTGATAGTCAGCAGTTTCTATTGGAGGGGAGTTGCCTTCATAAAGGAAAAACATACGATGAATGTATTATGCATTCTGTATTTATAAGAAGTAAATATAACACACACAAATACGGGCATAAGATATCTTACCTCTGTTCACTGCTATGTACGGTGACATTGTAGAATGTGTATTGTTTGTGTGGAAGATTTATATGAACTCAAGTTCCAAACTGTTGTCCTGATAAGACCTCTCACATATCGCGTGCCCTGATATAGAGAGACCAGGCTCTTCGACTGATTCACAAATCTTTAGTTCAGAGTTTTCCTCACAATAACTATCTACAAAGCATGATGACGAATGATTAGGACGGAAACTTTAAGCTACAATAGAAGAATGTCTGAGCAGGAAGCTGTATTATGTCTTATACAGTTCAAAGCTGATTATGAAATCAGGAACATAATAATGCAAAAAATGGGAAAATATGGGCTTTTAACTGTGGCATACAAGAGTTGCAGGTAGAAATTCCTTTCAGGACAAAATAGAAGATGATAATTTAAAAGTAATGACCATACGATGAATGTATTATGCATTTTGTATTTATAAGAAGTAAATATAACACACACAAATACGTCCATAAGATATCTTACCTCTATTCACTGCTATGTACGGTGACTTTGTAGAATGCATATCGTTTGTGTGGATGATAAATGTGAACACCTCAAGTCTTGACCATGTACGAAACTGTTTTCCTCCAAATAACAACACTGAGACAAAAGGACCCGGACATAGAATGAACATGTTGTTGTAATGTAATCATTGTCAAAGCCTTAAGGAAGTACTACTACGTAGCGTCTGTCAGCCAAAACGATTTGTGTGCACGTGTCACGTGACAAAGAGGACACGCAACTGAGAAACCTGTTGAGGCACATGAAGTCCATAAATTAAACAGGGTAAGGCAGCCTGATCGCCCACCCATCCTGAAGTTTGTTTGGCGCTTAACGCCGAAATCAGCAACAATCCAGCTAAATGACGGCGGTCTGTAAATGTTCGAGTCTGGACCAGACAATCCAGTGATTGACATCATGAGCATCGATCTACGCAATTGGGATACGATGAAATGCATCAACCAAGCCAGTGAGTCTGACCACCCGATTCCGTTAGTCGCCACTCAAGATAAGCATGGAATGCTGCACATAAATTCTAACCCGAATCCTCCAGGGAGCCACCGTACATAGAGTCTTCAACTGTCAGCCTTTCTACACTGTTATAGGGGGCACGGGTGGCCCAGTCGTCTAAGGCGCCGCGATTCGCTGTGCAGAGTTGCGTCCCTTGGGCACGCCAGAAACCTATGATTGTGGGTTCGAATCCCGGTTCGCCCCAATTATGTTTCTAGGTTTGTCAGCACCATACACGTGCTCGTGGGTTTCACCGAAGTGGTAAACGTCTGAGACCTGCATCACTTCGGGCTTTCCTCCCACATTAAGCTGACACGCCGCGATATAACTGGAATATTGTTAAAAGTGGCGTTAAACCAAACTCACTCACTCACTCACTCTACACTGTTATAATTATTGTCCCCGTCCATACCGTGGACGTTACCTAATTATATGTATCGGTTTTCTGTTGGTAAGTGTTTAAAGTTCATTTGAGTTTGCGAATTAGAACAAAGCTGTAACTGCAGTATTTAGTCTACGTCCTGATTTACATAGATATAACCATTATTGGGTTTCATCAAGCCATGCTTGTGTAAGAGGCGACTCCCACGCCTCCCCACCCCAACACTGGATGCACGAAATGCTTCCATGTCACGACTATCAATCACCAGTAATGGTGACACTTCTGCAAGAAAAGTTAAAAGTGAAATCAATACTTTTACCTTGGAAAAATAGAATCAAACCGTTCTTCTAGGATGTAATCGAAACACAAATATTGTCCCGCTGTATATCCATGGAGATATGAACAGTGTAATATAATGGGCGTTGTTCTGTCGAAACACAAACAGTCGCCCCGCCCTGTGGGCAGACGACGATGTTAAAATTGTTAAGATAGAATAAATGATATTACCAAGATCTCTGAATCAAGATTTCGTTTTCTTCCGGTTACGCAGTTATTACTCCAGTCAAATATTTTACGGATGATTCGATCTTCGGTTAAGTCACAAAAACGTTAAGAAATTCTGACATTTCCCCATCGTTGACATAATACTTCCACATGCATGTGGGTTTCATGGCTGCGTTTGGTCGCACTAATTGCAGTGGTATGTTCGCAGTCATGTAGTCGGGATATCGACAGTTGTGATTCTCAAATATCCATCATGAAAATATGCGTTCCATAACTTTTTTCCACCGTATACATGTGTGGTCTCTGTGTAAGGGAGCTAACTCCAACGTTCTTAACGTCCAATGGACACACGCCCAAGACACAATTTTCCTCTCCATTCGGGAAAACCTTTCAGCAAATCACACCATAGATGGATTGTGTAAAAGAGGGAGCTCCATCTTCACTTCTCAAAACATATTAATCGTATTCCATGATATCGCAACTGTTACATGTTGACGCTTCAATTGAACCGCGAAGTTAAATCAGGACGTACAAAACTAAATTGTGAAATCAATAATTAATCTCACAATATCAATGAATAATTAACAGATTATACTGAAACACTTTGAAAACATATTCCATTTTTTGTAATATTTGTATTTTTTTGGCAAACTGACCACACAAATATGAAATTGTTCTGTGTATTTAAGTAAGAAATAATCAAAAACATGTCATTTTGTTTCTCAGCCCTCATTCTTTGTCATGCGAGTAAATATTTACTGCCACAATCATTTTCTTGTATTGAAACACATCGGTTTAGGTTTTCAAAGATCCGGGGTAGAATAGGTCTTCAGCAACCAATGTTTGCCTTAAAAGGCGACAATGCTTGTCGTAAGAGGCGACTAACGGGTTCAGGTGGTCAGGCTCGCTGACTTGGTTGATGCATGTCATCGATCCAAATTGCGTGGATCGATGCTCATGTTGTCAATCACTGGATTGTCTGGTCCAGACTCTATTACTTACAGACCGCCGTCATGTAGCTGGAATATTGCTGAATGCGGCGTTTAACAACAAACAAACAAACAAAACATTGAGTGAAATATGTGGCAGCAACAATAAATAACAGGCCCTAGTACATAAGTCTGCGTACTCACGAAAGGCAAGAATTTGTCACAGTCGAATGTACGGTGGCCCATAAGGGACATGGAGTCTCTTTTTCCATATTTTGATATTTCACTTACTTTTATCGTTACCTTTTGCAAATTAACACAATTTGTCTTACAAATATGTGATAAATCATGTGTAAAGAAGATACTGAAAAGTGAAACGAAAATGTCAAAAACTAGAATGAAAATGCAGAAAACTATTTCCACCGCGGTGATAATATTCCCACCGCTGTGATAATATTTCCAACGCGGTGGAAATAGTTCTGTGGTTTCATTTTAGTTTTTGACATTTTCGCTTTTGTTTTTGACATTTCCATTTTAGTTTTTGACATTTTCGCTTCACATTTCAGCGATTCAATAGCTACTTGAAAGTACATTTTCCATGTTTTCGGTTGTTTTTATATATGATTTATCACATATTTGAATGACAAATTGTGTTAATTTGCAAAAGGTTACGATAAAAGTAAGTGAAACATCAAAATATTGAAAAACAGACTCCATGTCCCTTATGGGCCAACGTACGAATGTCTTTGATCCAGGAAACTCACAGTGTTTGAAGCAGGGTGAGCAGTCGCTGCTGTCCAATATCCGCGCAGAGCATGAAGATAAGCTGCAGGTCAAGTCGTATAAACTGACACGGGGAAAAAGTACGCACCCGTGTTTCATGATGGCCAAAATGAAACAAACAAGAAATGATTATCACACGGTGATGTATTTGATACGGGTTTCATTATTGTGTCTTGATCCTTAAGTTTGCCGTGTTCGGCGACTGTTTTCAGCCGAGTAACGTTAAGATAACGTTTATAATTGATTGGTCTAATCCAATTTCCAATCGAATACATTCTTAATAAATATACACAGAACAGAACACTAATTGTAACATTAAACAATATGGGACTCTCAATTTAACATCCCTGTCAATTTAATGCCCAACAAGAGATACTGGTCCAGTCGTACTTCTTTGTGTTATTTTGAGTCTGTGAGTATGGTTTTACGCCGCTTTTAGCAATATTTCAGCAATATCACGGCGCGGGACACCAGACATGGGCTTCACACATTGTACCCATGCGGGGAAGCTTCGAATTGAATAATATGAGCATAATTAATTAAATTTCAAATTGATATGAAAATAAGCTGTTACGCCTTAACCATATATACTGAACAACAAAAGTTCCGGTGACATTGAATAAGATTTAAGGCAAAGTTATGTTCTTTACCAAATCTGAAACAATTTCGGATTGCAACAGATAAAAGACTCCTGTAAGTGTTCAAATGGTTTAATTTGCCATACTGACTTCAGAAAATGCGTGATTTCATTAAAAAAAACATAAACATGCCAAAATGTCAATTAACAAATCAATAGTGTGTGTGTCCACCTCTGGTTGCGATGCAAGCAACACATCTTCGTCTCAAGGAATGGACCAGGCGTCGCACAAAGTCCTGTGGGATATCTGTCCATATCTGCTGGAGCATGTTTCGAAGTTCCTGAAGTGTCTGTGGAACACGTTGTTGACGTCGAAGGCGCCGATCCATCTCATCCCACATGTGCTCGATTGGTGAGAGATCAGGGGAGCGAGCCGGCCAGGGGATGACATTCACATTGTTTTGTTGAAGAGAATCCTGCAATCCAGCAATACGAGGCCGGGCGTTGTCATGTTGCAAGGGAATGCCTGGGCCATGACGACGCAAAAACGGTAGAACAACAGGGCCGATGATGTCCATTGAGATTTCCCTCTACCACTATCAAACGGGTCCTCTGTCTTGCTGTAATCCCACCCCATACCATAACGCTGCCGCCCCCGAACCGATCTTCTTCCACGACACAATGATTGACGTAACGTTCACCTCGACGTCGGTACCCTCGAATTCGTCCATCGCTGTGCCTGAGGTGAAAACGAGACTCGTCAGTGAATAGAACTTGTCCCGACTGCATGGCCGTCCAGCGTAGACGCTGTCTGCACCAGTGTAGACGTGCTTGACGGTGATTTCCTGTCAAAATGGGACGTCTGATGGGTCTTCTGGCGACAATCCCTGCACATCTGAGGCGACGACGTACGGTTTGTGAAGATATTCG